AACTTTATGTAATGAAACAAGCGTAACAAAGAGGAGCGCGTGTTCATTTCATTAATCAAATGCAAAAGGTGAACGGCCAAGTGCTCAGGGTCTTATTGTTAGGCTGTTGGCTTCCTCGTAATCAAGGATCACTCAATTTCTGAGACGAGGGCAGTGACAGTGAGGAGGTCATTACACCAGACGGAACGTACCTGTCAAGGATTTGTGCTACCTCAGGACCCTTCCTAACCTTGCAGCCGCCGTGTGGAAAAAGAACTACTGTAATAAAGCAAAAGTAAAGAGTGGAACGAAGCATGCTTCACTTCATTCCATCAGCCGCAGCCTTTTTCCCTGTGTTTCGCTTGTTAAATGTAATAAGGGAAAAGAAGGAGTTCCCTTGTGTTTTCCCCTCTAAATTGATTAAGTAACACAAACGAACCACACCTAGAGACCCAGACCATTAGGAACTACCCCCTGTGGTACGAGACGTGAAGTGTCAAGGTAGTGCGTGAGTTTAATCTAATGTAATTAAAACAATGCATGAGGGGACCGAAGGAAGCGTGTTTAAATGAACCAAAGCAAACTCAGCACCCATTTCATGCGTCTTTTGTTGATTAGAAAACCGTGCATTCTTTTGCGTTTTTTTAATACACGCGTGTTCCAGCGGTGTCGGCAAGGGCTTTTGGAGGGCCTGTGGGGCGAGGCCATTTGCATGCTTCTATACTTGTCTTTGAGACTTTGTTAGGCACGTTTGCGAGGGAAAACATTTCCGAAAATCCAGCTGTGCCTGGAGAAGTGCAAAAGAATGTGTAAAAAGTGAACAAAAAGTGCGAAACAAGTGTGAGAAAGTTTAAAATAGTGCAAAACCTAGGTTTCGGCTCCAGGAGGGACCGTTTGCATCTTTTCCTCACTTGTTGTACACTATCCTTGCAGTTTTCATGTTTTCCGCAGGTCCAACGTTTCCTGGAAAAGTGCAAAAAAAGTGTAAATCTAGTGTCTGCAGGAGGAACTCCCGGGGATCGCGGTGTCTGAACACAGTGTGGAAAAAAAGTGAGGCTGCGGGGCGGTGGGGTGAGAGGGGATCCGTTTGGGGGGGGGAGAGGTGAGGGAGAGCTTGGATAACAGGGAAAGCAATTGACACAAAACGTCTATATTGGTGAAAACCCCGGACACACGTCTTCCTCGTCTTATACTATAGTTACGAGTCTTCTAAACGAAGGCTAAAACTTCAGACATGTTTATTCACACAGTATTTACACTTTTGCACATTTCGAGCACTTATTTGACACTTCTGCCAGCTACCTTACAACAAATTTACACTTGTTTTACACTTCTCTTACACTTTTACGCTTCTCTTTACACTCTCCCGTACACTTCTTTCACAGTTCATTTACACATTTCATGATTTGAAAACTATCCAATGCTAACAGAACCCGGGCGTCTTGATTGTAGTACGCAAAGCAACAGCAATAAGACAGCCTGTCCAACTACTTTCTGAGAGTCTGTAAGAAGGCCCATGCCATAGGAGCAAGAGCCATATCCTGTTGGCCCCAGGCACCAGTCATCACTGAGGCGCTTCATCTTCTGCATCTCCAGGAGCGAGGCATTTCGCAAGAAGCCACCTTTTTCTTTTGGCAAAGTGAAGAGGTCAAAGAAGAAGGTGGCCAGGTCCTGGGCCGAGCTCGCAATGTTGCCCATGGTCCAGCCATTCAAGCAGGAGTTGCTAAACAGATCTTGGAAGGTTTGGTGGCTGCTGGCATTCCTCCAGTATTGCCAGGTGTATTGATGTGCAACACCGGGATACTGACTGCACCTGCCCAAGTTCAGAAAGCTGGTGTGTGAGTAGCGCCCTGTCTCGAAAAGCTGCTTCGGAATCACACTTAGCTGTGGCAAGTCTTGCCAGGACCAAGTCCCATGGACCTGAACGAGGACCAGGCCCAACAAGACGTAGTTCGCTCCAGAATAGCTGGCGCATGTTCGAGGTCTGCACAGGAAACCCTGTCGCGCCGAACTTCGAATGTAAATCAGCGGCCCAGCGTCGTCAGCGGAGAATGCAAGCGTGAAGTGCTCCAGAAAGAAGTCGTCGTAGTCATGGAAGCCGCTGGTCATCCCCAGCAAATCCCGCACCCGCACTTCCTCGACCTGTGCACCCCAAAGCTGCTGCATGGTAATGCTCCAAAGACGGGACATCACTGGGTCAAGCCATGTACTTGCGCGGTCATCCAGGCTCAACTTTCCAGACTCCGCGGCCTGCATAACCATAACTGCAGTCCAGGACTTCGTCACGGAGCCTAGGGGCACCAACATCTCAGGCATCAGCGGTGTCTTCCTGAATATGTTGTTCAAGCCAGATGCAGCTGCAGCACGTCCAGAACGATCAACAAAACCGAAACTGAAGCTCATGTTGTACTTGACGGCCATCTCGTCAAGCACAGGCTGGACGGCCTGCTGCACCTGAATAGACCGATTCATATCTGCAGCAATGTGCTGGATGCATGCCAGTGCGAGGAGGAGGAACATGGAAGCTAGCTGACTGCGCAAACAGTGCGTGCAAGGACGACTGTGGACTACTCACATGGGGCACTGAGAGACGACACTTGAGCCACGCAGTAATCACCTCTGCTAGGCGAAGAATGCTGCTGCACAAACGTCACAGGAGCTGGCTCCAGCCACGCCGGTCTGGGTAAAGGCCGTGGGCAATCGCGGTCGGGCCTCAGCAATTGCAGTAACAAGATGAAACCCGGATGAAGCTTCTGAAAAAGAGCTGCTGGCAGGTCTTTGGTCCGGCTGCTTGTTCAACTCGAGAAGTTCTTCTCTGGTCAACGACCTAGGCTTCGGAATGCCACTTACAGTGAAGCACCTCGCGATACCTCGCGACTCTTTGATTTGAAAAGGCCTAACGTCAACGCGGAATAGATTCTCGTTGAACCTTCCCGTCTTGTGTTCGATGCGTGTTGGATTCGCAGGACTCTTTGAGTACCCGAGAGCGATTGCACAGGCTGCACAAAGGTACCGACCCATCATCTTCCACTGGCACCTGCCGCGTGGTCACGGTAAGGCACGAGGCGAAAGCTCAGCGTTCGTGAAGCGCATCAGCCATGAGATGCCATGAGCAGTTTCCGGACCGGGCAGCTTCGCAACATGTTCGTCAGAACTGTACCCAAGGTATCGTCCAGTGCAGCATAGGTTTGCTATGTCGCTCCAGCCCAATCCCAGGGTGCAAGGAAACAACCTGGGTGCAAGGGAAACAAACCACGTCCAGCTTCGACTTATTCAGCAGCTCACAGAGGACGCTCCCATCGGGTGGGACTGCTGGTCTCAGCTTGCTGCTGGCTTTGGACCAGGCCCATTTACTCAAACGAACTTCGGCGGTCACGACCCTTCGCTCAGCTGGTGCCAAACATCTTCTTGCCACAAGCTTGCTTACAAACTTCTCTCGAACTTTTGCCGCCAATTCAATTTACAACATGTCACGGCACTATGATCCCGCCTAGTCTACCGATCAAGAAAATAGATGCATGTATAAATGCATGCAGGGATGCATAAACTATATAATATAGGCACATGCATGCGTACTTACATACATACCCCACCCCCACATACCTGCCGACGTTCCTACGTACCTAGCTGGCTACTTGTCTACCCACCTACATGCACACAGCACATACACACATGCCAGACACATACACAGTACGCTTGTGCATGTACCTTCGGTATGTGCAATGTGCGATAACAACACAATTAATCATTGATTCGAATGCAACTACGGTTGCTGCCTGCTTGTGCAGCTGTCTATTAACGCAGCTGTTCTTGCGTGTGTGTGTGTGGCTTGTTGATGTTACACATTGGGGAGATATCTATACCGCCTATTCAAGGGCCTATATTCCCACATTACTATCAAGAACCAGAAGTCAAATATGAACTTTTATGCATGAGGACTTGTGCAGCCGCCTGATACATAAATACGTACATACGTACGTACATACAT